CATTTAATTTAATGATTAATTCTTTTCATTTTACTAATAATTTATAATAATATATGTATTTCTTTATTTAATAACATGAAAAAATCATATAAAAAAGTTATATGAAATATTGTCCTATACCATTATCCTAATTTGTATTATGCTGTTCAATTTTTTATTTATATTTAAAAAAAGGTGAAAAACATTCTACAATCCAAACTACACTGCAAAACAGAGAGCTTTATATTTAATGAATAATATTATTGCAAATATATATTTTTAATGGACGATTTTGCCCCCAGGTTTATATCCTGCCCATATTCTGTTCAGCCTATTTCTAAGCCTTTGCCGGTTTGGATTTTTTTTAGGCCTTAATATTGGGTCGGGCCTAAGATGTGGCCTGGTCTTGCAGCTAGCAGTCTAGCAGATGTCTTGGGCAAGGCGGCAAGCATAGTTTTGGTTCCTAGTTTGGCTTTCTTTACTTTATTTTATTTTTTATTTTATTTTTAATTTATTTTTTCGGCTTAGTTCTTCTCTTTTCTCACATACCTTGTCTAATTTGGAAATTAATAAATTCAATATTTATTTTTTTGTTTCAATAGCATACCCTTAACTGAAATAAAGAGAGTGATGGAACCGCATGAAATCCTTTGCTTAACATGAAATCTCTATAAATTCTCTATTTAAAAGCAACATTATAAGGGTTACATAGTTTTTGACTCATAAATTGTTAAGATAATAGTAACAATTATGTTGTCAATTATCACAATCAGTAAAGAGAACACTTCATAGATTATGAATTAGTATTGCACACATACGGTAATGTCCCTTCAATTACACAAACAACTACACTCCTCGCAAAAATGCAAGAAAATTAACATTTTTATACATTATACTTCATTTATTCTTTAATAAATGGGCAGACCTCTTTATATTGAGAACTCTCCTCTCTATTAACGGTTTAAAAAAGTGATGGACTGCACTACAATATTCTTTTCTTTAATTTAGCCAAACCGAAATGCCTTATTTTTTATATTTCAACTTCATCCATGCCCCTGTTGCCTTCCCGCAGCAACAATCAATTAAAGTTAATCTGGTATTTAGGCTGCTTGTTCGGAAAAAACAGCCCCCAATGTTTTTCCAGTTCCGGTTTTTTCTGATTCTCATTAAACATTGCAAAAATGTAAGTCTCAATTGGTTTCCCAGGCCGTTTTGGAGTCCCTCCATCCACATGCCGAACCAGATTGGAATTATAAGTTCTCGCATTGTCCACGCTCGTTGCCGTTCCACCAGCCGATGGCCAGCCCGTCTCCGACACCACAACCTCCACAGACCCCCCACCGGACTTCTCAAGGGCGGCGTACACTGCGTCAACAATTGCATCAAACAGGTTCTGGTACTGTAGCTTCTGATCGAACACCACCGGACCTGGTGCCGTGAAGAGGGCGTATTCAAGGTGGATATTCTTCATGTTTCCGATATAGCTGAAGTAAGGGTAGACGTTGACAAGTAAAGGAGAATTGTTCTTCACTAAAAACCTGATGAGCGGGTCGAGAATCTGTTTATACCCCGTGTTGAAACTGCCCTTGGACGGAGGGTAGGAAACTCCTAGCGTTCCGGTGTGGATGGCGGTGGAAACTTTGATTCCAAGCCCCGCCCCGTTGAGGGAATTTTGGATTTTTTCCATGGCGGGGACGATGAACGGTGCGGCTGAATCCCCAGGATTAATTTCGTTCCCAACGGCAAGGTAACGGAACTAGACGGTGGGATAGTTCTTGATGTTGTTCTGGACCCATGCATCTGCTACAGATTGGCTATTGGCGATGTCTTTGAGAGCTTCGTTGGGAACACCGAGCATGAGCTCGATATTAGAGCCGCCAAGGGCTTGGAGAGCGTCGTGATCGGGACCGTAGAGTCTCATTCTTTGGATGTTGTGTTGTTTGTAGAGAACTATGACTTCTTGCTTGGATGGTAAATTATTCCCAAGCAATCCATAGCAAACACCTACCTTAGCACCTGCATTAGATTATGGAATTTCAGTCCCACTCAAATCAAATTAAAAATGATCTATTAATATTCGATGCTATACTAGTTAGTTTACACGTATCAAATTAAATTTACTATTAATGGAAAGCCTTACAGATATTTGTGCTACCGTATAATTAATTGATCAAATGAAGTACTTACTTGTGGTATTGAGGATAGCCATAAGGAGGCTAAAAAGTAGCATTGTTGAAGTCATGAAACCAGGTTTGCTGGTTAAAGATGGTATTTTAGCCATGGAATAGAACACAGAGAAGAAACAGAAAGAGGAGGCCACTTATGCTCCTACTAGCTGCTTAGTTTGCCTTATATATACAACGAGGAAGAGGTTCTTTTTTTTTTTTTTAATGGAAAAAAATCTTGTAAGTATCAAGATCATGTAAAGGGACAGGATCGGTTATAGACCTCTAACCCATAAAAGAGTTATTATTTTAGAATTTTAAAACATTGAATTTTTTTAATCTGTACTCTAAGAGATTTTTTTTAGAATAATACTATCTACACACTCTACCATTACACACCTCTTTACACCCATTAACTTTGTTACTTTCCGTTCCGTTAACTACCAGATGCATCCAACACAATAAAGTAAGACTGAAACCTGCAATTTCATCCTTTTCACCCACCATTCTCTGATTTTCAACCCTTCTTCCTTCTTTTCTCTCCTCATCCTTTCTTTTTTTTTCTTCTTTCCCTCTCCTCCCCTCTTCTTCCTTCTCTTCTCCCCTCTTTGGTCTGTTGAAGGGTTCCAAGAAGAACCCAGATCTGGGTTCTCCTTCAAAACCTAGATCGAGTTCTTAAAGAACCATCTAGGTTGATGGTTCTCCAAGAGAACCCAATGGAGATGTAATCTACCTACATGCTTATAGGCTTTAATCACATTATCATAAAAAGTATTCTTTGTTAAAAGAGAAATATATATACACATACCACATGATTCTTTCTTCAGAACCCAGATCGGGTTCTTGGAGAACCCAGATCGGGTTCTTGGAGAACCCAGATCGGGTTCTTGGAGAACCCAGATCGAGTTCTTGGAGAACCCAAATTTGGATTCTCTCTCCAAGAACCCGAACCCATCTAGTTCTTCATAAGAAGGATGATGACAGAGAAGAGAGAAAAAAAAAAGAGGAAGAAGGAAAGAGGAAGAAGATAATGAATTTTTATAAATTTTTGTTAAAATTTTTACAAATTGGATAATATGGTGTGTTGTTTGGTTGATAAGAAAATTGTTTAGTTGATTAGGATGAGGATGGAGGTGAGGAAGAAGATGGATCTAATTGATGAGGACGATGAACAGCAAAGGAGAGAGAGAAAGAAAGGGCTAGGCTGGGTGAGTGTGAAGTTGACGGTGTAACGAAGTTGAGGGGTGTAATTAACAGAAAGAAAGTGAAAGGTGTAACGCAGTGTGTAGGAATAGAAGGGTGACTCTATCATTGTCTTTTTTTTTATTATTATTATGAATGTATATAAAAAATATAAAAATTGATATTAATTTTAGTATTGTTAGATGAATTTAATATAACAATTGATAAATTAAAGGTTGATTTTTATTTTTGTAATACAAATGATGTATTTAATATACTTTTAAGGTACAAGTTAAATAAACTCTAAAATAATTAAATGAATAATTTAAGTTAACCTCAACTCTAAATTACTTTAAACCCAAAAAAAAAAAAAAATCATGCACTTAAACACCCCCCTTAAATCTCGAGTTGCATCTTAAAGCTCATATATAGTCAATTAGCCTTTTATACCAATTAATTAAATGTCGATAAACAACATAAATGTCCCCAAAAGGGATATCTTACTTAATAAAAATGTCAGACTTTAAATAAAAACTCATAACTCTTAAACCTTCAAAGATGGAAAAAGATTACGAATAGAAGAACATTATATACCCCTATTATATGCTGATAAATGTTATATATATACCCCTATCATATAGCGGTCTTAACGTATTAAAAAAAAAAACACTATATAATTTCTGGCTACTTCCTTCTTTCCCAAATCCAACCTCACTGAGATGCCATCATTATACGTATTCAAAGCCTCCACTTCCGAATGGACAGAAAATTATCACTTGACAAAAGTCATTTAGCATAACATTAATTTCAAAACTTTGGTTCTAAGGTTAAAGAATTTGATCAATAATCGAATTTGAGAATAATGTTTTTTTATTGAATTGACAAATAAATAAATAAATAAATAAACAACCACAAACATTAAATGTGCTTTAACTTTTTTCCTTCTTCTTTCAATACTAACCTTATTGAATTGACAAAAGAAAATTATAAGTCTCTTTCCTAATAACAATTCTATCAACCAAAGAAATTAGGGAAACTAATTTCCACTTTCAAATTTAAGATTTCAAATCTAACACACTTGACTCAAATGGACTGATTTTCTATTTGGGTGGAAGGA